AAAATCATCAAAGAAGCATGACTTTGTATGTTCTTGGCTATACCTCAATGAAGTCATTGAATCATCCCGCTTACTGTTACATTTACATGAATACATTTGGTTTTCTTTTTGTTGACTTCCTCGTCTGTTCCATCTTCAGTGACCACCAGCCTCCAGATGGGGTTTTTTGTTTGCTACAGGGGTAAACAACCAGTGTCTGGGTAGCTTCTGGATCCTTTTCTCTATGTCTTCAAAGTCTTTCAAAGACAACTTGGTGATGCTTGAGACTTTGTTTTTAACTCTTCATTAGCCATGCAGGCAGAAGTTGCAATGTTTCCTAAGAAAAACTGGAAAGAAAATATGGATATTATACAGATGTTTCCATCTGGTGTAAGCATTCATAAACCTCTGGGGTCAGCGCCCTGGCTCTGTTCCTCAAGAGAACCATTTCCGCTTGTGTGATTTATTCAATAGCATAGAACAGCATGTTAGTGAATGCATCAATTTTATTTATTCATCTTCATGTTTTCAGCTGTTTATAAAGCCTTTCATTTGTTGTACACTGCCAAGCCATCACACAGACTTACAGGGTGCATTAATGGGGCTGGAGCATAACAATTTATGTTGGCTGGACTTTTCTTCATCTACTTTCTTCCTTCTTGTGTTGCATTATCTCTGGGCCTGTCTGTCCCCCATTCATCTTCCTTACATTGCCTGTTTTTTATTCCTTACATTTTGTCCCCATCTCAACTTTAAATTTCTTTAAAGAACTTTAAATCTTTTTCTATTCTCCCGCAGTCTGTAATTTTCCTGATTTAGTCTTAGGCCATTCCTGCCTTTGACCACTGAGCCCCAATATCTGCTTTAACCACACACGGCCATTAACCCCAAGTGTCCCATCAGCAGAACCAGATGGGAGGAAGCCCTATCTAAAGTGACTCTTACGACTGTCAACATTGGCCTCTTGAAGTTTAACACACACAAGTTTAAAAGTCACATCTAAAGCCAGTAAAGCCAGTTAAAGGGAGTGACATTATACAATGGGAGTGAAAGCCCTTCTGACTTCTGTGCAGTTGTTAGCGAAACTTTATAGTGCAGAGGAAGGCCAAGTGGGCACAAACGGGAAGTGAAATATTCATTTTTTGTGCTTATGGAAGAGAAAGAAAGAGGATAGAGCGTGCACGTATGTGCGCGCTCTATCCTCCGCGCTCACGTGCTCGACGCCGCTCATTGTGGCTTTGTGCTGAGTCTGCTCTCTCGTCGTGTCCTCTCCCTTGTGTCCATTATGGTGATAAGGCTTTCACTGAAGTGCTGCCAGCCCACAGATAAAGAGCCACAGAGAAAGATTTCTGTGAACATGCCGCTCCTGCAGACCCCCGCCACTCCACCAGTGCCAGGCTCCCATCAGCATTCCCCCCCCCAGTCCCCCCAAAAAACCTCCCCATCCCTCCGGTCTACATTTCTCATACCCTCATGTCTCATCTGCTCTCCTTTGTTTGCCTCGTGTTCAGACTCTTTCATTTGAGCTAAATACTTACTTTATTAACTTTTTTTCCAGAGCGACTATTTTTCAGAAAGGAATTTGAAGATGCTCATGTACCTTTTTCCCTCAAACTGAGTTTATTCTTCTCATTAAATCAGTCCTCATGCCAAAGCTCCACAGACCACAGAAACAGCGGTGCGTGCCTTGGGACAAACCCTGCCTAGAGAAGAGCATTTCTAAGGAACAGTTGATTTTTATTTGATTTTAATAACAGAATTTATGAATGATAGATTTTTTTTAATGAAAATGTCTTTAAATGAACTTATCAGGGTTTCCTTATAACCTTAGGGGTTTAATGCAGACCAGATTATTTCCACTTTGTGTCCAGCAGATGACTTATAATGAATTTCTCAAACTTATATGAACTCCCTAATAAACACCACAAAATCCTTAATCTCTCCTTTTCTTCTTCTTCTCTAAACATTACTGTTAAACCCCTTTTCAGTGCACCAATTAGTCCTTTGTTGGTTACTTACTGTCCTCAGACAAGATCTGAGAGGTGACCACGCATGGGTAACCGCACACAAGCACATCACAAGCTCTGTTGTCTTGTGTGCACGAACACTCACTCACCCGTGTTCATGTGGACTGATATGCTCATGCACACATGGTGGTGATAAATGCATTCAGTCAAGCAATGAACATTAAGCCCCCACACAAACACAGTCTCGAGCTATCTGAGTCAGATGTGTGTGTGTGAGTCGGTAGGCACTTTGAAGTGCTGTCGGGTAGGTTGGAGCCACACATTGAGTGCGCAGCAGGGAGGCTGCCGTGCCATAGTAGTACTCCTTGGTGCCTCTTTCCCTTAAAAGACCCCCGAGACCAAGCATAGCCTCTGGTGCCATTTAGCAAGGCCTGCCAAAAATGAGCCATATTAAAGCATTTAAAGAGCCACAAGAACTGGACTAAATGTCAAATGCACAGCAGGAGAAGCTGATGCTGCTCTTGCCTCTGAGTTGTTTAAACTTACCTCCAATGAACTGCTGTATCAAGGTATTTCTCATTCCCAGAAACAATGCACTTCCGATTGGGAAATGATGCACTCATCTTTCAGTCATGCAAATAACATGATGTTGCAACAGTAATAAGCCTCTTTGAAATTGGTGTGGTGAATAGAGAAGCGCATGCGAGTGAAACATCTTCAATAAAGAATGTCCAATCCTTACGTTGGGTGAGTGCTGAGTGTTTGTATATGTGTGCATGAGGGTGGGAATGCATGTTTGTGTCTGTGTGTGCCTGTTTGTCTGTGTCTATATGTCAGGTCGGGTCTTAGACTCCACCTCTCTGGGAACTCCAGGCCCTCCAAGGCCTATCTCCCCTCACCACACTCCCTGCCGGTGACTGATGCCCTCAGGGGTCGGTGCATTGGTGGTTCTTGGTGTCCGGGGCTGGGCGCTCAGGTATGTACCAGCTCACTCCCGGTGGCTACTTGGCGGGGCCTGGCGCCTGTTGCTCGGTCAGGCCTCCTCCGGGGTGCGGGGGGCCCTCGGGCCTCCGGCCTCTGGGCCTGTGGCTCGGTTCACTCTGGCACAGCTGGCTGCCGGCAGAGCCGGCGGGCACGCCGGTGCAGCCCCCTCTAGCTTCTGCTCGGTGGCTACTGGGTGACGCCTCGTCTGGGGATCCTCAGCCCTTCCCATGAGGGTGGCACGGATGCCCCTCCGGTGGTCCTCCTTGGGCTCTCGCACTCTGGGGCCTCTGGATGTCTGGGGCCTGGATCTCCTCCATGCCTGCTTCATGCCCTGGGGGACGGGGCTATGGCTCGTACATCCTCTTGCAGACCATTACATGTGGAAACCATTTGAATACAAGCGCGCTGATCCACACAGGTGTGCACACGTGTTCACTGCTCGTAGACTTAAATTACACCTTTCTTGGCTGCTACTTCAAAGCACATTGTGCGCTGTCTGTCCTGCGTGCTGCACAACAACATTGAATATTTAGTATTTACTGCTGTTTACACTTAGCTAGATTAATGCGATGGTGTTGTGTTTAGTATGTTGCTTTGGTTTTTTTTTTTGTTTTCTATTCTTTTCTCTCAACAGGTGATCCAGGAGATTTTTTTTCCCCCCCCTTTCTCACTGTCCCTCTCCCCTTCTGTTTTTCTTTTCCTTCCTCTTTCTTTCTCCCTTTCCTATCCCTCACTCATGTCTGTCCCGTCTGTAACACTGAAAATAAAATAAAATAAATAATAAAAACAAAGGTCGATCAAATGGACCAATACGGCAATGCCACGATGATCCATTTGGCAAAATAAATCCATTGGGTATCCTTGTTGGTCTTCAGACAACAATTCTGACGGCTAAAAAACCAAATGGGAAAGGCAAAAAAAAAAAAAAAAAAAAGGAGCAAGAGGAGTTTATCCGAGTGGGCAGACAGTATTACGGTGAATGCAAAGTGTGAAGGTGGAGCTGGGGGGTGGTGCCTCAGCAATTTGTGTCCTGCAGATGATTTTGTCACTAATGGATTTGTTTAAAAGTTTTATTTACAGATTAAAGCTTATTTACACAGACTCAGTAACTGTGTTTCACTGTTTCTCTGAGCTGTTCAGCTCAGCACTCGGGTTCTTTTGTAGTACCCACATTAAATTCAGGAGGACACTCTTCAGCTCCGTAACTCACGTCCACGTGAAGGCGGCCGTCTTCATCAATAGACATAATCATGGTGGGACGGTTCAGTCTCTCCCATAGCTTCTTCTTTATGAGGCGTCCCAGCTCCAAACTGTATGGACGGAGCTGTCCGTTCTCGTCTCTGTGAGGAACAGAAAAAATAGAAAGTTTTAAGCCATTTTTTTTTGTTGGGCGGGGGACAAAAGAGGTTTGATCCACACTGACCTCAGCATATCATCAACCACTTCATGGTACACCTGCTGGTACTCTTCTACTGAGCGGTTGTGGATCATTAGAGGGCTGTCTGGCCGAGGTGCAACAGTAGAGGGTCGAAGATTGTGGGCTGTATTTGAGACCGGAGGCAGCTCAGAATCAGGGATGGTGGCTGATGGTCTTGTGAACGTGTCCGAGGTAGAGGCCTGAGGGGTGGAAGACATATAGCTATCATTTATTTGTTATTAATTTAGCACCACTGCAGAAAGTCTAGAAGAGACAGATAACCTTGGTTTTCCTCCTTTTCTGGGGAAGGATGACTGCACTTGGAGAGCGCTGGCGTTTCACTTGAGTGTGCTGTAAGTGGAAACAGGCAGTAAGAAACAAGAACATCCTTTAACAATCCTGCAGAGACAAATCTCCATCAGATACACTGACCACTCTCACAGGAGATGACCCTCAAAAATTTGCCAGATCTTACGATGTAAGAAGAGATTTAAAACATGAGCTGTGCTCTGTTGCTACTCATGATTTGATGGAAAGTAAACAAGTGTTGTAAATGAATCAAACAAGCAGAGTAGCATCGTTTCTAATGTATTCACGTATTTTATCGTTTAACATATGAGAATCAGATGTGTAACCTGCTCATCCTTGAAACACTGACACGGTCTACAGGCTCCAGGCTTTCTCCTCCTCTCTGATAGCCGTGCAGAGACTCTCTTTGCTGTGAGGCTGTCTTGGACTTCAGCAGCGCTCTGCAAAATTTCATACACATCAGAAAAAAGCCTTTCTAACACAGCATATGTAATACATGTCACTTTTAAGAAATTTTCTGGAAGACTGAACACCACAGTGTTTTCCTGCCACTTAAAATTTACATGCAAACAGCAGTTAAGTGAAACTTTAGCTAAATACATAATATCAGGTTATAGTATTTCAGATTCACTGGGTTGACTTGTTTAAAACAATAAGATCCACCTGATTGGAAAGGTTTAATTACAACAGATGCAGAAAAACATTTATGCATGCATATGCATTTGTTTTGAATTAGACTAAGTTTAGGCAACTTTGAGTGCTACCGATTGTGCTACCGAATGCACGTTGATTCACACTCTCAGGTAAATTGTGAATAAAGTAAATTGAGTAAATTGACCTTGAAAAGACTTCATTGGTTATATATTTACAATAAATACTGTTTTGTTTTTTAAGATATGAGAAAATCTTAAATCTAAACTTTCAGGCCTACAAAAATCTCAGAGGTGAAACACACTGAAAACAAATCAAATCTCACATTTTCCATGATGGAAGTTGCTTTCTTCTGGCTCTGGGAATTTTTAGTCCTCGTCAGGATGAAAATATTCTTCAATAAAACTGATAGTTTGCTAGAAATCGCTGTGTCGAAAGTGTCAAAAAGGATCTTGAGTTGAGGGCGATCAGAATGTTTGTTTAGGTTTAAATGATGATTAGACAGAAATGAGGCATCTGCAGGGGGAACCATGGCAACTGTGGAACCCTGGGTATCCATGTAGTGCACAGCTGTTTTTTGTAAACAACTTGGTGTTTTGACATATCTCACCTGTGTGACTGTCTCTGACTCAGTCTGACTGCATCCTCACTCACAGTGCCTGCTTTAACTGTGCTCTCAGTCTTTCTATGAAAAGCTGACTGCATTTGTGCATGCGCTTGTAGAGCCTTAAAATAACCAGCCCAACAGAGTGTGGATTAAATAAGAAGAAAGCAAAAAGATACAGCCATGCAGAAATTAAAGGCTCTGTCTGCACATTAGCACACATTTTGAAAATGGATTAAGTTTTAATAGAGTAGAAATCAACAACAAACACATCTACAAACATCACAAAACTCCTCATCACATCTGTTGCACATCAAAAGCTCCTAATTTAACCTAGTGTCTTAGATTAGGGAGCGTTACCTAGAGGTTCATGTCACTGTACAGCATGTTTACCTTTGACTGCTCCATAATTCAGACTCTTCATTTTGTGCACATGGCACAGCAGCGGTATCTTCATTCATGAGCAGTGTTGGGTAAGTTACTTTAAAATAGTAACTTAGTTACATTACTAGTTACTTCTCTCAAAAGTAACTCAGTTACTTCAAGTTACTCGTTACTTTCAAAGTAACTAGTTACTAGGGAAAGTAACTTTGTTTTACTCAGAATTCTCTTGTTAATGTGTTTCTTCCATAACTTTGCCAGTCTTCTAGCTTGCTTACTTGCCACAAGTGCACTGTGCCACCTACCAATAGAAAGGAAAAGATAATGTGCATATTTCCACGAGAGAAATCCCACGCCTGGACCGTCATTGACTGCTGCCATGATTCTAGCCTACGTCACAGCGTCATGTGCGCCTTTTACATCCAACACAAAAACTGCAGTCGTGGTGCTTTCGATTGTACTCAGAACTCGGAAATTCTGCCTTCTGAATAGGAAGATGTAGGTAACACCAGACTGCAGATGAGCTGCATACAGGGCTGGACTGGGACAGAAAATTGGCCCGGGCATTTTGACTAGAGACCGGCCCACCATTATAGGAAAAATCATAAAGCCTTTGAATGAAAATAAACACTGTTGTGACAGTGATGTTCACTGTTCTGATGGTATATATGCATCAATCTATCAATCGTTTGTTGTAAGATTCAGATAATTATTTTTTAAAAGCTAGACATTTTAAATGAGAATAAGAAAGAAAAGTATTTCTTTGTGCCCCCTCTCCCTGTTAATGCCCTACCTGGCCCCCTGGCAACACTTTGCTAGACCCGCCCCTGCACAGTTACCAGCTGTCAGCTACTTAGAAAAGGATCCTGGGGTTATTTGTCTCTCAGAAACAGTTCATAACTTCCCTTCAACTCATTCATGTCACCTAAAAGGTAAACCTGTTTCTCCATCACCTGTTCAGCTCTGATGATCTCAGTAAGGACATCTCCTGGTTTCATCTTCATGTTTCCCTCTCACCAGATAACCAAACCATATCATGACCAGCAGCTTTACAGCTGTGGCTCCAGCAAACATCAGCTGATACTAGAAATTAATATTAAATAAATTCTAACAACAGCTGATCAAGCTTAAACGTGCTGCTGTTGTTTAGCGCGACATCCGCTGGTTTCCTCTTTCGGCGCAAAGTGAGCGATAAACAAACAAGAGAGCCGATCAGCTGATCATTGATCAGTTTCATGATTGAAGTAGAAACGGGAGAGGGAGGGGGGAGATGAGAGAAGAAGAGGCAGCTGTGCAGCAAAGACACAGAATAACTCCAGCTTTGTGCCTTTTCTCATTGTAGCTGAATTACGGGACAAACTGTTCCTTTTCACCTCAATAAGAAACGCGTAATATTTTCTCTGAATACCAGACGGGACGGTTGGCAACTCTAATAACTTATGAACAAAATAAAGTTCAACATCATTAACTTCATAGCACCACCCAGCTGTATAGAAACTCCGTCATGCTAGCTAGCACGCAGTACGGAAAAAGTCAGCATAACGAAAATAAACTCCACCTAAACTTGGTTCATATCTGACCCAGAGAGACTGCAGGTCATAACTTCTTACCTGAAGTTCAGTTCACACTTGGACCGGCGGCCGCCTCGGGTCTCTTTTCCTTCTGCGTCCCTTTTCCTTCATCCACCTGCTGGCCTCCACCACTTGCTAATGTTACTGAATCTGTGGAAGCTCCGCGATAGCCACCACACGAAGTAACGAGTAACGACCCTATCTAAATCCCAGTAACGAGTAACGCGTTCGAGGATCTGTACGTTTATGGCTTGATGAATAATCTAGTTACCGTGACCTCGTTACCATCAATAATAACGTAGCTTACTGTAACGCGTTATGCTTAACTAACGGCGTTCGACCCACTCTCTGCATTCAATCATTTGACCTTCGTGGAGTTTTGGATCATATAAATGAAGACAAAAAAAAATGAAGTCCAGTCACTTTCTTTCCAAGCTCCTTGGATTATTTCTGTGACTTTTACTAAGCTATGAGCTCGGTCTGTTGCCTTTTGATTTAAAGAAAAGATCCCAAAACAGTCATTGTCTTGCACAGTCAGCAATAATTTTGCCATTTGTTAGGAATACATTTATAATGAAGGTCAACTAAGTGTAAGAAGCATGGCAGTGAAAGGTTTTGGGACGGCTTCTTCTTCTTCTTTGCAAGTAGGCCAGTAATCAGTACTTGTCCCACTCATAAAGAAAAGCGCAAATTCCTGACTCACTCAAATCTTTGGAGATATGATTAAATACCAGGAAAGACATCTGTTGTTGATACGGTCCCATATAGAACAAGACAACATGTATTAACCAGGAGAAAATGCACCAAGCATTCTTGGTACATCCTGATTTGTGACTGAAATGTTGCTGTAATGCCCCAAGTGAGGATTCTGTTTTAATGATTCTCATGATTGTCAGAGACAGGGCACATTAAACAGACATTATCTCTGAAGCCCGAGCCTCCTACTGTACTTTCATGGTTACTTAGAACATTGACAGAAAGCAGATGAGTTGTTTAAACATAAGAGGAAAATCTTTTTCTCATGCAAAGTAGAAGAGTTTCAGTGCAGTAACCTCTGACCTCTTTTTATATACACAATTCCTGCTGGAAGAAATGAGGGGAGAAAGTTTTGGCTGTAACAGCATTGTTAAATTCTATGCTATGATCCACACCATCTCAAGTGGACGCACAGATGTTTAAGCGTGCGCTCTTCCCCCAGTGACATTTTCCTGGGTCCAGATCTTGGAATCTGTACACATCAAACAGATGCAAAAGCTCGAATGGATGCCATTTGTGGACAAATGATTAGCCAACCAGTGCCATGAGGCAGCCTAATGCCACTAATGTGCTACAGTGCTTCAGCCCCTGCAAAAAAAACAAAACACAGAGTTAAACACCCTTTTATGATAGGGTGCTAATTTATTGTGTTTAGGAGCTGCTTAATACGGTAGAGTTTATAAAGGCCATATTAAAAATCTGCCGACTGAGTAACAAAAACAAAAAAGTGTCCCTTGAAAGCTGCTGCACATTTTTTCAGACTTAAAATGTTCCTTCTTTAGCATCATAGTAATAAAAAAAAGTGTGTGTATTCTTAATCATCAGCTCATGTTACGATCTTTTGCTCTTAAAACCCCAGCAACTATAGACTGTATATAAAGGATGGATGCCATTTTCAGCTCTGAAAAGTGAAGCGGACACAGAGTGCATTCTTTCTGATTGCCAACAGGGCAGTAAATCTTCTGGTGGCTCGTATAGCAGTACAAGGGAAAGCAGGTCTTGCCTCTTTTGACTGATCACCTCAGGAAATGCAAACCTGACGAGTTCATGCCTAGTTTCAACTCTCTTGACAAATCTACTGCAAGATGGCAATTGCTAAAGTGCTCAGCTTGAGACTTCAAAAATGAGAGTTTGCAAAGCAGAGGTTTATCACAGTGGCTGCATCTATCTATTTTACCCACAGTCTGTCATGCAGGGGTGAAATCTGAAGGAGAAATCTCGTGACCCACTTAGAGATCTGCCAGTACAAAGTTTATGCTTTACTCAGGTTTTGGTTGTGTCTCTGTTGGTCCACAGCAGACAGAGAGAAAATTCATCAAGGGGGGTTGTGGAAGAAATGAGGATCACCATGCTCTGTGTTTGTCAACAAAGTGTTCCCTCCAGCTGTGGTGGCATACTCACATTGGATTTTTCCATTGCTGTGCACTGCAACAGTACAAAAAAGGCACTACGTGAGTAGGACAGCCTTTTTTTTTTTTTACTGTGCATCCCTTACAATTAAAAATATAGTTTTATCTGCAATTAATCTGTTTAACTAAATATGATTTAGAGGAATTTTATTAGAATAATTTACATTTTTAGGTATGATATCCTTACATTAAAAATAAAACTTTAATGTCTTATTTGGTATTTGTGTAGCCCTGCAGATAAGTAAGTAGTGTTGAGGTCATTGTGGTTGAACGATTTTTCTCAAATGTAACTATACCAAAAGTGCCATAATTTTTTTTTTTTAAAAGATGGTTTTGGATATAAAACTAAACACTGCTACATATAAATAAAAAGAAAACAGAAAGCAATGTATGGATATTTTAGATATGTTCTCTATCTATTCACCATGTGCCAGATCGACAAAATCAGGTCAGTCCCATAGCCACCTACAA